AGTGTGTGTGCACGCACGTGTGTCGTTGTGTGCGCAAATGGTGGATGTAGAGGGCCTTTGTCTATGCGAATGTGACAACGCGTCTGTGCTTGTTGCCTCCCTCTCAAGAGTGTAAGCATTTTACTAATGCAAAGTGTACGACGTGTTTTCCAGATTGGAATGAAATCATAATATGCATTTCCGTATTTTTTCATTTACTCTGCATCATTAGCCAGTAGGTATCTTGAGACAGTTTGCACACTAGCAACACACAAGAAGAATCAAAACTATTGATCTGCGCAGAGATATTTCGCTACCTCAAAATGTTGGACAAATTCGCGACCTCAGAGCTTTCTTGTCGTATCTCCATTTGTAATAACAGTGAAAACAGTTCATATCAAAGAGTGAGCTTAAGAAGAAGTCACATTTTCGCTGGATATACGATAAGAAAGCACTGAGGTCGCGAATTTCTATCTGCTCAGTACCCAGTTTTCCAAAAGTTTGACGTCAAAGATTTTGAGTTTCGCTTCATGTCAAGACTTTTATCGAATGCAATTCTTTGAATATCTTGAAAACAACTCCGAACAATCTTACGATTTTGATAGAGTAGATAGGGCATTAAAATGGGTTTTCTGACCTCATGGTCTTAGTAACTCAAAACAGCAAAAAATGTCAGGTAGAATTTTGTAATTCTAAGGTAGCGATTTGGTTGGTGATTACGTTGCAGCGCTTATTATGCTAAAAGTAGTTTTGGATGTGAAACAATAACTCACAAAATGCTGACTGTCTTGGAATAGAATTATTAATAATTCCTAACGCTAGTAGGTCTTTGTGTTGAAAATGCCTCAAGGGCCTTCCCCTAAAACAGATTTTTGACACACTTTCTGAACCAGATAGACATTCTACCTTTGCAGTCCTCAGAACTCAGATCTTTTACTGCCCTGAACTCGATTTGTGAACATTTGTCTAGGTGTGTTAAATAACAGACCTGGCAGCATTCATATCTATGGACTAATTTTACAAATTTGCTTTTTACATCATCATCATCATCATCATCATCATCATCATCATCATCATCATCATCA